ACTCCCTCACCCACTCACCAACTCCCTCACCCACACTCACCAACTCCCTCATACACACTCACCAACTCCCTCACACACACTCACCAACTCCCTCACACACTCACCAACTCCCTCACCCACTCACACTCGGCAACTCTTTCATTTAATCACAGTACTCGACAACTTCCTCACCCACAAAGTCCGTCACACGCTCATCAAGTCCCCTCGCTCGTTCGCTCACCAACTTCACACACCCATCTCACGTGGTCATACGTTGACTCACCAACTCCTTCACACACTCGTCAACTCTGTAAAATATTCAATCAACAATGTCCTCACTCATTCACCAACTCCCTCACACTTGACCAAGTCTTTCACACAAACACTCACCTCACAGGCCGACATGAATCGACTCCCTCACCACTCACTCAACATTTCCCTCATTCATCTACTCGCTCACCTCACACTCACCACTCGGCCCGACCACTCACCTCACCACTCACCATACACCTCACCACTCACCTCACCACACACCTCACCACTCACCTCACCACTCACCTCACCACTCACCACTCACCTCACCACTCACCTCACCACTCACCTCACCACTCACCTCGCCACTCTCCTCACCACTCCCCCCCCCCCCCCACTCACCTAACCACACACCTCACCACTCACCTCACCACTCACCTCACCACTCACCTCACCACTCACCACTCACCTCACCACACACCTCACCACACACCTCGCCACACACCTCACCACTCACCTCACCACTCACCTCACCACACACCTCACCACACACCTCGCCACACACCTCACCACTCACCTCACCACTCACCTCACCACTCACCTCACCACTCACCACTCACCTCACCACTCACCTCACCACTCACCTCGCCACTCTCCTCACCACTCCCCCCCCCACTCACCTCACCACACACCTCGCCACTCACCTCACCACTCACCTCACCACTCACCACTCACCTCACCACTCACCTCACCACTCACCTCACCACTCACCTCGCCACTCTCCTCACCACTCCCCCCCCCCCCCCACTCACCTAACCACACACCTCACCACTCACCTCACCACACAGCTCGCCACTCACCTCACCACTCACCTCACCACTCACCTCACCACTCACCTCACCACTCACCACTCACCTCACCACACACCTCACCACACATCTCGCCACACACCTCACCACTCACCTCACCACTCACCTCACCACTCACCTCACCACTCACCTCACCACTCACCTTACCCCCCACTCACCTAACCACACACCTCACCACTCACCTCGCCACTCACCTCACCACTCCCCCCCCCACTCACCTAACCACCCCCCCCCCACTCACCTCACCACTTACCTCACCACATACCTCACCACTCACCTCACACCTCACCCCCCCCACCCACTCACCACTCACCTCACCACTCACCCCACCCCCCACTCACCACTCACTCGCGGTCGCGCATTTCCTGCTCTTGTTTTTATTGAGGGCAGAACGAGGCTCGCACCCAAGCGGCGTGGATTAAACACCAATTCTCACGCTCACGTTACATAAAGTACATCCAAGTATGCGCTTGAGAAACATTCAGTCAACTATGTATAACGTAAGGAAATTAGATGTTAAGGTTACAATGGTTATGCTAACGAGGGGAACAACACCGGACAAACGAGACGGGGGTAACGCGGGAAGAAAAAATAAAAAACGACACAAACATTGAATCGAATCGTTCATGGACCAGTGAATTGTTACACGCGGGCAAGATACAGTTTATAAAATAGCAGGTACATTAAACACAACAACAGTGTGCCCCCCACGGAGACAACACGTAAATAGACGCGGCAAGGATGTGCAAATATAATGGCTCTCAAATGCCTGGGCAGGTCCCAAGCGCCTCGACTCACGCCTTGCGAGCCACTAGTCTACCAGTAGGAATACATCTCGACGTTTCGGCGAACGGCCTTCTTCAGGAAAGTCTTAAATATTCGGACATTGGACTCACTGGGGGAGGGGAGGGGGCTTAATATGGGTACAGTATCGTTACAGTACACACGTACATACAGTATACACTTAAATAGAGTACATAGGTAGCAGTTTGCGTCATTCTGTTGCGAGTTCCTTGCCAACAGCAGACCCACGACAACCTCCCCCTGCACCGTCGACCTGCAGGGTGGCCAGCCCACAGAGCCCCCCACTGGTGTTAGTGCAGCAGCAGCAGCCTCAGTCCCCCCCCCCCCCACTACTCTCAGCCCACGGAATAGACCCGTACCGCTCACGGCCAAAGCTGTCAACCCACACGGTTCGCCCCATAGTCTCGTCCAGGCACATTGAGTTATCAGGTCCATGCGGGGTACAGCCGTTTCAATACGGGCAGTACAAAGTGCGTCTATTTGTTTGTGTTTCTCCCTTGTGATGGGTCTGTAGGACGCACGTTGAGATGTCTAAGGGCACGGGGTGACCAGTAGGGTCTGAATTGGTCTGTAATAAGGTGGGCAGCAGTGATAAGGGGGTGGCAGCTATGCTTACCCCCCACGTTATCTCCCCGGCAGATTCATGCCGAGGTGGCGACGGTGACGATGGTGGTGGTGGTTGTGGTGGCTGCTTCACTGCTAACAAGCAGTGGCCGCCACATTTGTCAATCTTGAGGACGTGTGAAGGATTTTTCCTGAATAATCATCGCGTCTGGTTTGTTGTTGTTGGCCAGGTCTGGCCTTCGGGGCGGGCCACATCGCATCAGATGTCCCTCCTCTCGGTTCCGCCTCGGCCGCTGAATTCCCGATCCGAACACGTCCAGAAGAATCTCCAAGGAAACATTCACATTCCGTGCAAAGTGACTCTCTGTCTCTCTCCCTCTCTCTCTGCGCGGGCCACCATGTAGGGCGCCTAAAGCTAATGGCGCATGCTTTAGCTGCAATTGCGAATGGTAATTACGCGATTACCGAGCCATGAATACGCGCGGACACATAACACAGTGCGGTATTCTAAACCGTGCCGCAGTTTATATGTACAGTGCATATCGCACACCGCGCGGTGTGAGCGCTGCGGATTTAAGGAGGTTACTGGGGTAATTGAGATGACCTCCGGGTTAAGTGGAGGGAATCCGAGGTAACTGAGATGACCCCGGGGTAACTGGAGGAATGGGGTCATTGAGATGATCAAGGTAACTGGTAACTATACTGCAGAAATTGGGGTAACCGGGGTAATTGAGATGACCTCAGGGTTAACTGGAGTGACTATTAGGTAACTGAGATGACCCCAGGGTAACTGGAGGGAATGGGATCATTGAGATGATGAAGGTAACTGGGAACTGGACCGGAAAAAGCAGGGGTAACTGGGGTAATTGAGATGACGTCAGGGTTAACCGGAGTGAATGATGTAATTGAGATGATCCCAGGGTAACTGGTAACTGGGCTGGAATTTACCAGGGTTACTGGCAAATTGGATAACTGAGGTAAATGAGACAACTTTGGGGACCGAATTGTCCAGAGTGAGTGGGGTAACTGATATTAAAGGGGGTAACCGAAGTGGCAGGGGTAACTGAGAACTGGGGTGAGTGAGATGACTGTAGCCTGCAGGGTTAACAGAAGTGAACGCGGCAATTGAGGTAACTAGCATAACCGGGATGACTGTGGTGATGGGGTAACTGAGATGAGTGTGGAGACTGGTAACTAGGCTGTAAGGACCAGGGGTCTTTGGGGTAACTGGAGTGGACAGGGTCAATGGGACGAGTGGGGTAACTGAGATGAGTGTGGTAACCTGGGAAAAAGGGTCACTGGGGTCTAGCGGGGGTATTTGAGGTAACTTGGGTAACCAGGGAAACGGGGGTGAATGGGTTAACTGAGATGACTGCAGTAGCTGTGATGACTCAGGTAATGGGGGTAACAGGGGTACCGCCCCCCCACCCAGCAGAGCCCCCCACCACGAGGATAACGTGTGGAGAGACAAAGGCTCTTTCACCCCCCCCTCCCCCTCAGACTTTAGAGAGTCCGTGCACAGGGGAGTACAGTAGGAGCCCATGGACTTCACTTGAGTGTGCGCTGTTATAATTAACACATTCACCTCACAGTAAAGGCAAATCCTGTAACACATTAACAGCTGTTATGTATATATATAAAATAGTGGATAGACGAAGTGGATGGGGGGGGGGGGGCTACAATAAATAACCCACAGCTGGCACGGGGAGACTAAGCCGAGGTGCTTCCTGCCCCTGGGATAGAGCGCCTCACCCCCTCGGTCCCCTCACCCCCTTATCCCCTCATCCCCTCATCCGGTCACCCCCTCAGAGCCTCATCCCCTCACCCCCTCATCCCCTCAGAGCCTCACCCTCTGGAACTTTGAAGGGGCTCACCCCCCCCCACCACCCCATTGCAAAATGTTGGCGCCACCTGTGAATAGTTCTGGGGGGCCCTAGGGGCGGTGTGGGGGGGGGGGCTACGGAGCTCTGGTGGGGGGGGAGGGGGGGGAGGCGGGAGGGGGGATTCTGGAGATCTTCCAGGTGCCTTAGAGATCCATGGGGACCGCCGTGGGAGCTGAGGGGGCTCGCGGTGGGGTGGGGGGGTCGAGGGTGGGGGGTGGGGGGGGTGAGGGTGAGGGTGGGGGGTGGGGGGGTGAGGGTGGGGGGGTGAGGGTGGGGGGTGGGGGGGGTGGCGAGGGTGGGGGGGGGTGAGGGCGGGGGGTGAGGGGGGTGAGGGTGGGGGGTGGGGGGTGGGGGGCGTGGGGGGTGGCGAGGGTGGGGGGGGTGAGGGCGGGGGGATGGCGAGGGCGGGGGGGGTGGCGAGGGTGGGGGGGATCGAGGGTGGGGGGGGGTGGCGAGGGTGGGGGGGATCGAGGGTGGGGGGGGTGGCGAGGGTGGGGGGGTGAGGGCGGGGGGTGGGGGGGTGAGGGTGGGGGGTAGGGGGTGGGGGGCGTGGGGGGTGGCGAGGGTGGGGGGGGTGAGGGCGGGGGGATGGCGAGGGCGGGGGGGGTGGCGAGGGTGGGGGGGATCGAGGGTGGGGGGGGGTGGCGAGGGTGGGGGGGATCGAGGGTGGGGGAGGGGTGGCGAGGGTGGGGAGGATCGAGGGTGGAGGGCGGGGGGTGGCAAGGGCGGGGGGGGGGTCACTTCCCCCCCTTGGCTTTGTCGTGGTAGGTGCCGGCGCCCCTGTAGGAGGCGACGTAGCCGCTGGGATCCACTGCCTCCTCGCGGCCCGCGCGGCCCCGGCCTCGGCCGGCCTCGTCGAACCGCTCGCGGTGGCTCCCCGTGAAGCGGCTCGCGTCCGTCAGGCGACTCACAGCGCCCGCGCTCGTCGCCTTCTGCACAGGGGCGGGGGAGACACCCAGGGGGAGTTGAGAGGCGCAGAGGTCGAGAGAGACGTCGGGGTGAGACGCGCGCGGTGCGCGGGGAGAGAGAGAGACGCGTGGAGGAGACGGGGGGAGGAGGGAGAGATGAATGGGAGAGACGGCGGCGTGGGTATGTGTGTGTGTGGGGGGGCATGCGTGGGGAGAGAGTCGTGGGAGTTGGGAAGAGACACGGCGGTGGGGGGGGGGGCTGTGGAGAGTGGCGACTTCAAACTCTCTGGGATTGTGGACACGTTTGGGCAGCCCGGACCATGGCAATCTCCAGGCGGGGTCCCGCTTAACCGACAGACGTCACATCGTCACCACCACCGCAACCATCAGCCATGGCCACTCCGCGGGCGACCTCAGAGATCCACGGGAACAAACCCCGCGCCGCGAGTTCAGTGTCCACCTTTCCCGCGTGGTGATTTTGTTGGGGGTGGACGCGCGCCCCCCGACTCCCCCGGGGCGCGGTTCCTCTCCGTCGTGGGGGGGGGGGGCAACCCCCACTCCGACCCCCCCCCCCCCCGAGGCGGCGTGCGTTGATGTCGTCGCGACAAAAACCTCGCCCGTGCAGCGTCAACACTCCGACTACCACAACAAGACACTCGCGTCGGAGCCCGCGACCGGGTTGGGGGGAGGGGTGGGGTGGACTTCGTTAATCCGAGTGATGAGAGGCGCGGTGGGTTTGGCTGATGGCGGTAGAGTTCATCTCTGTGTGTGTTCAAGGTGGCAGACGCAAGCCCAGCATGGAGCATAGCAGGAACCCGTGCGTGGAGAGTGGCATCCGCAAACACGTTTTGTTGTATGTGTAATAGTGTTCCAGGAGACTTGGACGCCGGGGTTGGAGGCACACGTATTTATTATGTGTCGGTACAGCACAACACTGACATGCAACACTGGAGGGGGTATCGGCCCCCTCACCCGTCTAACTGGGGATACACTCTCTAGCTACGCCTAGCCTACCTCTGGGTACTCCACTAACGGGCTAGGGGAGGCTAGCTAGCCCGACACTGGTAAGTCGGGCTCACGGTACCCGGAGTCCCAGACCAGCTCTTACAAGAGCACCGGCTCTGGCTCTCGGGACCACGCCACTGGCTCGATCCTGTTCGGCCCTGATAAGGGCGGCGATCCAGGGGAGTCCAGGGCTCTATCTATGACGATCTTCAGTCTTCACTGGTTAGCTTCAACATCTCTCCTCGAGCCCTCCGGCTCATCCCCTTTTATACCAAAACCCCCGCTGAGGGGTGGGGCCCCGGGGGATCCCAGCTCCGAGTCAGCCCCCCAGGTTGCCCGATGCGGACGTCGCTGGGAGCACCTTCCCGTGCACCGACATAGCCACGCCCACTGTGTTTCTTTCCCATCTGATTCCATTGTATAACAGTCCCTCCGTAACACCCCTACATATGGATGGTGCTACTCTTTATCTTTAAGAAGCGACCTGTCCATCACAAATGACAGCTAGACGAAGTGGGCTCATCATCATCGTCGTCGTCGCGTGGAATTGTATAGCAGCAGCCAAACACTCTAAACCACGTGATGTTGTTTCTAAATGTGGAGGGAAAACCCGGACGATCCGGAAAAAAATCCACGCGACCACCGGGAGAGACAGGGTCCACATCGAACCCACGGCTGGCTGTATATCAGGCGAGGGAGTTAACATCTCGCCAGCGTGGCGCCCTATAAATAATTACGGAGCCGGCGTCAACCCATGACCACGTCGCCCTGAATGCGCCCGATCTCCACAGCTCTTAGAAGCTGAGCAGACTTCAGCCTGGTCGGTACAGGACTTGAATGGGTGATGTCCACGCGCTATAGACTTGGGGTACGCGGTAGCCAGAGAATGATGGTACAGCCAGGGCCGGATTAAGGTTCTTGTAGGCCCTGGGCAGTTCTCTTTCGTAGGCCTTCAGTGATCACTTTCGACAGCTGCTACCGCTGCCCATGTCACGACTACCGCCGATGCCACTCGCTTGGTTCACGCGTAGCACAACAACAACGCCGCCGCTTGTCTTCCCTTGCACCGCTCTCTATTGAGAATGAGATTGTGCGAAAAAAATACTTGAAGATGAAAGAATCTCGAAAAGTTAATCTCCAGTGTTACAGTTTCTCACCTTATGGAAAAAAACGATTGACATTGGCACGACTCTGCCTCCTTGTATAAACACTGTGCCCTATCCTCGCTATAGAAGTACATCTATTCAAGACGATATCTTTGGTAACACGTTTCATCATACAAACAACATGGTGTACGGATCTTTGAGTGTCACCCCCATGCATGGTGCATTGCGGGGGGGTTTCTCTGGGTTCTCCGGTTTCCTTTGTAGCCCACGGACCCACGGCAGAAACCGGTAGCACCCGAGGCAAGCGGCACTTCAGTTGTCGCGATGTCTTTACGTGGCTAACGACGATACAATAGCCCCAAACTGGTTTGAAACGGTTACGTAATTTCGCCGTAGCTGGTCCCATCAAAAAAAATTGGAAACCGGCAAAGTGACGCCACCCCTCCCTCTGTCGTCGCGACAAGGCGAAGACGTCTTGGGTCTGGGCACGTGGACCGGCGGCCATTCGGCTTCACCAGCCGTGGCACAGGGCAAGAAATGTCAGCGCCCTGACCCCTCGATAACCTCGACACCGCAGACGCCGCCGCTGCGCGTGCGGGCGGTCCCATCTCACTCTCCGTTCCCACAACTCCGCGACTGCTGCCACTCTTGAGCACAAGTTATGGGCGTGGGGGGGGGCGTTGCACGCCTCGATATTCCTTACCTGCCGACCTGCGGGCGTGACGTGTGGCGTGGATTGTGGGGGGAGGGGGTGTGGATTGTGGGGGGTAGGGGGTGCGGTGTGGCGTGGATTGTGGTGCGGGGGGGGGCCTCGTGGATTCCACGCGGCGCGGCCACGCGCCAAGCCGCGTTGGTGCGGGTCGCGCTCGGGTTTCGGGGCGGTAGAATTCCACCGCGCGGTCGGGAAGAGGCGACCCGGACCCGCACGGAGACTTTGGCGGGGTGGCTGGTGGGTGGGTGGGACGCAGAAGCTGGCACGGCAGTGAAGTTGCCTTCTCGCCCAGCGGGTCTCGCCCGGTCAGGTTTCTCTCTCACCTACGTGTGTATGGTGAACTTCTTTCGCACCACTGTACGTAGCCAACCGTGCTAATCGGAGATGCTGGGGTTGTGGACAACAAACCGCACGCTCTCTTGATAGCCCTCGCACGAATTCTCACCATGAACGGAGATGCCCGGGTGCGATGGGGAGATGTTGACTACCTCGCCTGGTATGCAGAAGGTCGTGGGTTCGATCCCGACCCTGACGCCGGCTGCTGGTGCTGCTGCTGCTGCTTCTGTGTATTTGGAGTCTGCGGTGTCTCTGCTACCCGTGGTCGCGTGGATTTTTGTCCGGGTCCTCGGGTTCCCCCCCCCCCCCCCACATTTAGAATCGCAACGTCCGCTTCGGGTATTTGGCTGCGATTAACTTCCACGTGATAAGTTATTTCCTTCAGCTATAATTTGTGGCCAGGGCGCTTCTGATAAAGAGCTATACATGTCAGTAGGCCATACCTGATCAAATAAAATAGCTTAGTTTAGTCTCTGTTTATAAAATTTATTATAATAATAATACAGCGTCAAATTCATCAAATTTTTCAACTTGCCGACGACGACGATTTTTTACGCACGCCAGTAAGCATCTTCGTGCGGCGAATACAATTTAGAAAGACGACTTAAAACCAAAACAAATAGTTTGTAATATTTTAAAATCGGTGGGGGGGGGAGTCTCGCCTGCGCGTGACCTCGCCAGCACGGGTTCACGTGCGACCACAACCTCTGCTTTACCCTTTCTTGATCGTGAAAAGCAAACGCAACACCACCCACCCACCACCCACCCCTACCATGCCGCCCGCACCGGCCTACACTGCATCGCCACTGCGATCACGTGGGCGCCTCACTTGTCTGCAGCGTTCTTGTCGCTTTTACTTTACATTTCATGAACCACGGAGACACACAGACAGACACACAAACAGAGAGAGACAACACAGTAACACAGAGAGAGACACACAACATAGACACACAGAGACCCAATGCCTCTGTGTCGAGGCCTTAAATAGAGAGAGAGGGGGGGGGGCAGAGAGAGGGGTGGGTCTGCTGGGGCAGCTGCTGGAGCAGAGAAATTAGCATGTCAATGAATCCACCTCGAAGTCTCTGTGTGTATCTCTCTCTGTCTGTCTCTCTCTGTGTGTCTATGTTGTGTGTCTCTCTCTGTGTGTCTCTGTGTTGTCTCTCTCTCTGCTTGTGTGTGTGTCTGTGTGTCACCGTGTCTGTGTTTTGTCTCTTTCTCAAATTTAGTTCTTCCTGATGACGGTTGCTTGTTTTGCAATCGAAACGTCGTAATCTAGTATTTAATTTATTTTCTTTCCACGTGACTTTACCGAAAGAACCAAAGAGTAATTCCTGCAGTCACGAAAGCTTCAAATCAAATTTCATGAACTGCCACCCACGTGATTGCGATGCCCTTGGATGCAAATTCACCACCCCTGGGGGGGGGGAGGTAGTAGGAGGGGTGGTGGAGGGGTGGTGGGGGGGTGGTGGGGGGGTGGTGGGGGGGTGGTTGGGGGGGGTGGGGGGGTCGTTCAACTCAGCCGGTCTTTGCTCCGTAGTGGAAGAAATGACTGTCCTCGTCATATGCACGTGGAGTTTCCACCGCTGTCTCTCGGTGTATAATAGAGAAACGCTTCTGTTGACTAACTGCTTTGTGTGAGTACTTTGTTATCTCCTCCCCCCTCAAAGAGGAGTTGGGCAAACGTCGCCATGAAGCAGGACCCTCCTGAAGAGAGAGTCTTGAGACTCACCGAGGCTCAGGACTCTCCCCCTTTAACGTCGTTTCACAAATACGTCGTCGCTGTATTGGCGCCGCTTCGCCTCAACGCCCACACTTCTTCTTCTTCTCGAATAAACTGAAATTCTTCTTTTACTTACCAGGTAAGG